GTTTTCTCCTGATTGATGCCAAAGACAAAGCTCTCCATCAAAAGCTGCTCAGTGTCTGGGCACATCCAAACCAGGTGATCACTCCAAACCTCACCAGGAATGTCCTCACTGTTCCTGTCCTGGGGCTGGGGCAGGACCTGTGGCCAGCACAGCTGGGATTTGGGGTAATTCCAGCGGGAATGGTGATGTTTCAGGGATCAGGGTCTTCCTTCTCCTGATTTCTTGACCAGTCTAAATCTGGTCCATCCAGAGGTGATTCTGGACCTGCACCAGCCCCCAGGCAGTGCAGAGGTTCTGCCTGGAGTTGTGGGGATGTTYCCAGAASRGTKTTAGGRGAGCRCAGCTACGCTCCAAAGAGRAGCCAGCACAGAGAGGATTCTACTTATTCACTACAAAAATAAAAAATAAAATCCACATTTCTCTCATTCCCTCCATACCCACTGCATGATCTCTCCCTCCTCCCCAGCCAGCCGGGCCATCAGACCCAACTTTGCCACCATGGTCCCTCTGATTCCCCAGGTGACAGAGGAGGGATGGGGATTTCAKCTGCGGGGTTGGCCTTGGCTCTGCCCTTGAAGGGGCGCATTTGAGGAGAAATCCCAACTGGGGGCTGGATCAGCTCGGGGTGTGAACCCCAGGTGACACTCTGGGTGCAGCCACAGTGACTTTGGCTTGATGCTGAGCCCGATCCCACCGTGCTGAGCCTGCACCCTCCAGCCCCAGGCTCTCCTCCCCAGCTCCATCCCTCACTTTGGCACATTCCCACGCAGCCCCAGCGGGCAGGGAGAGCCCCCCATCCTACCCACAACCCTCCTGCTCCCCCACCGCCCTCTCGGCCCCCGTTTTCCTATTCCCAGCATTTACCCTCCCCGCACGTAGCCCTGGGGGAGCCAGAGGATTGTCCACAGAGGGAGAAGTTATTTTTCCTTGACATAAACATCCAAGCCTTTCCTCGGCCCCTTCTCTTGAAACGTGGAGGTAGGACCTGGACTCATAACATCCGGCAGGAGGGGTTGGCCTTATCTGCCAGGAAACACTCAGCTCCGGACACATCCTCCCCTGCTCCCGGCACCCCGAGCAGCTCCCATCGGCAGGAAACCACTCAGCAGCTTGTCTCATTCCCTCCTCTGGAGAGACGGCAGGGAGGGCCTGATCCTGCCCTGCTTCGGAGTCAGGGCGGGGTGCAGGGAAAAAAAGGGATGGAGAGCAAAAAAAAAGGGGGCAAAAGGGGATTTAGGATTTGAGGTTTTAGGGGAGTTGGCTGAGCTGAGGGTCTCGCTAGGCTCTGTCACTGATTTGCAGGGTGGGCTCATTTCAGTCATCTCACCCCCTTCTCTGCCTCTGCTTCCCTCACTGGATTCTGCTTTGAAAAATCGGGGGAAATTTCCATCTCCCAGGTGATTTTTGATCAGGATCCAGATCCCTCGTGTGGGACAGGGATCCCCCATGCCAGGGGCAGCACAAGCACTGGATCCTGTTCAAACCCTCAGGAAGAGACAGGTCATGTCGGAAAAAGGGCGTGAGGGAAGGAAGAATTACCTCTGCTTTACGGACAGGGAAACTGAGGCACGGAACATCSACGTAGCTGTTTGTCACCAGGGTCCAGCCCTGCCCGGTGGCACTGGGACAAGCAGAGCTGGGACACAGAGGAGTCACCACCTGCTCGAGGGACGCAAAGGAAATCACCCAGGGCATGACACAGCTCTGGGCAGCCCAAATCCCGGYGATTGGGGAAGGGTGACCTCATCCCTGCTCTGTGACCTGCACAGCCACGGGGACACCGGGCTGGCCAAGGCCACTGGACACTGGGGGCAGAGGGCTCACAGCCTGGTCACTCCCTTGACTCCTGTTCTGTCCTCAAGCAGGAGCCCCAAATGTGGTGTGAGGTGATTTYATCCCTTCCTGCAGCCCTGATTTGATTTTCCTGTGGGTTCCCAGCTTATCCCAGCCTGGGGACAGCAGAACCACAAACCACAAGATTCCTCAGTGTGCACASAGACAGCCTTGGGCTCCTGGATTTGGGATGGGGAGGGAGGAGGAACGTGCCCCAACTCATTCAAATGATTTTTTTGAGTACCTGTTTGGGGTAGAGACCCCTCCCAACATCCACAAACCACTGAGGGCACCCATCTCCCACCCACATGTCCACTCTCCAAGCAAAACCTTCCCAACTCTGTGGCCAGTCTTTCCACCCTGCATCCCAAAAAATGTCCATGGGGCGGGGGCTGATCCACGGCACCTCATTTCCCATCCCAGCAGAGGAGGGGTGGACAGTCCTGCTCCTGAATCCCACGGTGGCCGTGGTGTCCTGGAGGTGGGGGCTGGACCCTTGTGGCACTGAGCTGTGCCTGGATCCGGCTGTGGCTCCTGGGGAGCTGCTCCTTGCCTTGGCTGCAGCTCCCCACACCCTCAGGGGGCCCTGACTCCTGGTTGGGGCCTCTGTAGCTGTTCCTGGCGTTCCCAGAGCTCAGGGACGAGCTCCCAGCTCTCCTCACGTGGTGGCTCCGGTTTGAGCAAGCGGGGACAGGCTCGGCTGGTAGGGCTCTGCGCTCATCATGGCTCCTCGGGGATGGGGTGCATGGAGAAACCCCTTTTCCTGGGGAAATCCAACTCTGGGAGCTGCTGGCAGCTCTTGGAGCAGGGTTTGCCTCCACCAGCCCTGTGTGGGATGAAAGCAAGGAGGGAAAAGGCTCATRGGGTGGTGGTGCAGTTGACCCCATYGTTGCTCGGGGTGWCSACACACRRGAGCAGACAATGTCCTGGAGAAAGGGTCCTGTAAGGTGAGAATGTGGCAGCCCAAATCAGGCTGATGGCAACACCCAGAGTTGTTTTTTTTGGGGGGCTGGGACAGCTGAGCCTCATCCCCAAGGCGGTTTCACTGTTCTCAGCTGCCTCTCGGGCCTGGGGCACCCCAGGGATTGCAGGGAGAGATGAGGAAGGAGAAACCAGACTTCTCCAGCCCCATTCCTGCTCTTGGCATGATCCCACATGGGTTTAGAGAGACCCAACAGGCTCCTGGCACCTCCCTCCCTCCCTCCTGTTCCAAAATTCTCTTGGAAGAGTCACATTCRGGCTGAGCCAGCTCATTCAGGGAGTCACCACCACTGTAGGGCCAGCAGGWCACCCAGAGGGATCCATCCATTCCTCTCTCCCTGAAAGGGAAAGCCCAAGGGTGAGTTTGGATGCCTGAGAGGTGGATGAAGSAACAGGCAGGATGGGAGAGCTGAATTCAGGAGACAAAAGGGGTGGGGATGAAGGAGAACAGGACAGGAGCACGTTGGTGCCTCCCCAAAAGAGCCTCTAAATTCTGGGACCACAGGCTTCATGGGTTAGAAATAACTCATTTGTGGGACACGAGCCATCCTGGAGGACAGGATTGGTTTGGGTGACCTCTGCAGACCCCTCCCAGCCACCACACAGAGGTGACACTAGGAAATGAACTCTTCCATGTTTTGGGGCCAAGCAGGAGGAGCCAGCCTGGAGGACGCTGTTTTGGGAGGTGTTTACCCTTCCTCGGATCTCCAGAGGTCTMTTCCAACCCCARCAGCTCTGGGATTCTCTRTGCATGGCCAGATCAGCAGGRACACAGCCTGATTCCRYGTCTGGGATGTTTTTCCACAGASAACAACATGGATTAAGCTTTTCTCTTTGCTGGCCAGGCCTGAGGAGCATCACTCAGCATCACCTTCACGTGGCACCCCAAATCTGACCCCACAAGTTTCTGAGGCCTCACTGCCTCGACCTGCACCTGCACCAAGGATCCTTTCCAAGGCTCCCACACCATGGAGCATCTTAAAAAGGTGAATCAACCCAAATTGTGAAAGAAAAGAGAGCCTTAAACGTGACTGAAACCCACACTTCAGGCACAGGGATTCKCTCCATAAATTGGGGACACCAAGACACCAAAGGCAAAGCTCTTGACTTCACTGGAATATGGAAAAAGGATTAAAAAGATCACTTCTGAAGGATGGCAAAAGCAGGATTGAGGCCACCACAGCGACCTGAACCCTGAGACGCTCCACGAAAAGCAAGGGTAGGCACTCGTCATGCCCCGAGTCGGTTTGTTAGAAAGCAATCCACAATTTGTAAAGATAACCACAGATCTTTTGTTTTATTTATAAAAAAAAATGGAAGTAGAAAAAATTTGGCTGAAAATACCAACAACAACAACRACGACAACAAAAATATAAAAAAATAGCACTTGCATGGGAAATGTTTCTGTTTTGAAAACTGTTGTCAATAGCGACAGCAATTTAAATCATCGAACAATCATCGTATAAAAACATATTTATTTAAATTAAATATTTTATGCAAACTCGTATCTACACTCATTCAAAATGTATAGAGTCACACAAAAGAGATGGAATGTATTAGCTTAAAAACCGGTGAAGTTTTGGGGGGTGGTTTTTTTTAAGTATTCTTTGCAATTATTATTAATACATTTTGGAGACCAAAACCAGGAAATCATAACCACATTACTAACTAATCATTGCCAAGTGCCATACAGTAAACACTAAGATTAATCATGTCATATAACTGATTTAAAATAAAGCTTCATCTTTATGGAAAGGAAGAGAACTCGAGCAATACAAAATCCAAGGTGGGGTGGGGGGGAATAATGGAAGGAATAAATCAATGTACAGCTTTATTACACGCAATAAAATGCCAGAGTTAGGAGAGGCATTGGGCACTGTGGCTCCAAACATGGAGCCTTCCCCTTCAAAGGATGTTTGATTAAAAAAGTGTCTGCTACATCATCACCTCGTGGCCAAAATGTTCATCCCAGCACCCGTTCCCAGGGGTGGGTGCTGGTTGGATCCTGCCTTTCCAAGCCCTGATCTTACCCCGCTCCAGACCAGGCTCAGCACCCTCTGGGCTSGCTGCCCTTTTCTTGGCTGGTATCCCATCCCCTTTGGGATTTCCCAAGGGATGAAGCCCCCAATCCATGCTCCAGGGGCAGGGGAGGGGGGTTTTAATCCCCAATGGAGCTGTCCGGCAGGTCAGGGAAGCTGCAGAAATGCCGCCACCAGAACCCAAAACCAGCTCACGGACCTTCACCAAAATCTTCCCTTCTCCCACCCCTGCCTTTGCCCCTTCCAGRGGGAATTCAGACCTGATGTTTGCGGGGTGCTGCTGCACTCCTGACTCCAAATCAGAGCTGGGGATGCCCCAAAACGAGGGGCAGCCTTCCTGCACACCCAGGAGCATCCCTGCTTTGGAAGARGGACTTGGCCGAAGGGCTTTGGTTTCGGGAAATGCCCCCAGCGCCGGTCGGAGCGGAGCACTCCAGGCTTTGCACGGTGGTGACCCAACAACCCGAATCCTTTACCTACAACCCCGAGGAGACTCCAGGGCYCTGCGGTTCAGACTCGGTCACCCTGAGGGGCCGCGGGCGATGTCCCCAGGGAGCAAYGCCTCGCAACAGTGTCGGGTCCTTCCTCGGCCGGTCCAGGCGGCCCCGGCTGGGCTCCCTAAGACACGCTGTAGTTATTGTAGTAGGTGGCCGTGGCGTCGGCCAGGACGGAGATGAGGCTGTTCTCGGAGCCGTGGGAGCTGCCGGACGCCGGGACGTGCCCGTTGGCCAAGGTCCCGCCGTGCTGCTCGCCGTGGCTGGGGTTGTTGAGATATTGGTCGAACTCATTGCGGTCCATCTCCCCCAGCAGCTCCGCTTGGCTCAGCTGGTCCAAGGTGTCGAAGCCGTGGTGGTCGGGCGGCGGGGAGAGCTGGCCCAGGTGGGCATGGAGGCTGGGAGGGGGCAGGGAGGGGAAGGCGGGTGTGTAGTAGCCAGGAGGAGGAGGAGGAGGAGGAAGGGGAGGGCAGCTGGAGGCCGGGGGGATCATGCAGGTGGCCGGCTGTGGCATGGGGCTGAGCGGGTGGTGGCCGCACCCGAGCGARCCGCCCGCGTACTCCGGGGAGAAGGCAGCACCGGCGAGGTGGGAGCGGTGATGCTCCTCGGGGCAGGGCGACGAGAAGAAGCTCTGCTCGGGGTCGATGGCGTCCAGGGGGGACATCTCCGGCGGCGTGGGCAGCCCGTAGGGGTAAGTGTCCACACTGGTGCTGCCGCCGCTGCCCGGAGCCTCCCGGTAGCCCCGCGCGGCTGGCAGCCCCGGGCGGGGTGGGTACTCACCCGGGCCCTCCTTGTCCCCCCCTGCCCGGCCGCAGGTCCGCTTTTCCGGCACAGAATTCTGGTCCCGTGTCAGGCTGCCCAGCAGAAAGCCGGGATCCACCCGCTTCCCGATGCGCTTGACCTGCTTCTTCCGCCGGGGCCGGTACTTGTAGTTGGGATAATCTTGCATGTGCTTCACCCGCAGCCGCTCGGCCTCCTCCACGTAGGGACGCTTCTGCGACAGGCTCAGCGCCTTCCAGGACTTCCCTGAAACAGGAGGACACGTTCCCTTAGTGCCCACAGCCACCCAAGGGTTCCCAATATCCCAGCTGGCACACAGAGGGTGACACACCCCAAAAACCCTGCAGGAGGATGAGGCTGGTGGGAGAAGAAGGGGGGAACTGAGGCTGCTGTAGGTTCTMCAACTCCCTTCATTCCCAGTCCCCACAAAGGGTGGGCTCAGGGTTAGTAAATAAATKCAGGAAGATGAGCTCTCCCAGCTCCATGATCCCTGGGGAGCAGTGACAGCCAAGGCCATGCCTGGCTGAGCAGGGGGTCAGGACACGATGTCCTTTCAGGTGCCCCAGCCTGTGCCCTGCCAGGACTTGCACAAGTACACAGGGAGACCTGGGCACTGTGACAGCTGTTCTGAGCAACCTGGGATGRTGRAAGGTGTCCCCACCCTGGATGGGTTAGATGATCTTTAAGGTCCCTTCCAACCCAAAATATTCCATGGTTCTGYAATTCTGTGACCTYGCTCCTCCCTGTTTGAGATAAAATGTCCCCAAGACAGGGGACAGGTTCAGACAGGGGGGGTTTATCCCACAGTGGGGCTACTCCTCAGGGTAAAGGGGAGAAATGAGGATACAGATCAAAGCTTTTGATGCCTTCCCATGGCCTGAGACAGCAGAAATAACTCTAATAAGCTGAGATGCTGCATCGGCAAAGCAGCGAGGAGAAAACCCAAACCACCAAAGAAAACACCGCAGAACTGTCCAGGGAAACACAAACTTTGGGTAASAGGCTGGGCAGCAAAGCTGTGTTGCAATTCGGGCAGCACTTTCTCRGGCTGTCAGAGCTGGTAATTTCGGTTTGCCCTCTTGGTTTCACATCGAAAATGGGGATTGGGAAAAAGGAAAAAAATGGGGATTTGGGAAAAACAGTGGATGGGGAGTGGGGGAAAAAACGTGTGCTTAAAATGGGCTGTGATCCCCCAAAAGGAACAGCAGAAACACAGACACAAACCCCAGCCACGCAATACTGGGACAAAGTGGGACAGCAAGGACAGGCCAGGGAAATTTGGGGGTTCCCTCTTTGCACAGCAAAGCAGCACCCAGCAGGTTTTTTGCAGCAGAGGGGTGGCAGGGTGCCTGTGTCCTGGATGCAGGACACCATCAGGCTCTGCACACCTCGAGTGTGGGACATTTATGGGGTGAGCACCCCGTGGGTGCCCGGGTGCTGCTCCTGGGGTGCAGAACACCACAAGCTTTGCACCCCCAGAGTGCTGCACTCGGGCTGGCTTTGCACCCCCAGGTGGGTGCAGGGGTGCCCCTCCTGCTTCGTGCCAGCCCAGGTCCCCATCTGGGCACGGCAGCACCCCCAGGGATGGCCAGTGGAGCTCGGGATCCCAGTCTGGGGTGCTGGATCTGGGTGGTAATTGCACCCCAGGGATGACGGGGGGCTGCACTGTGCCCACCCCAGGGCGCTGGATTTGGGGGGGATTTGCACCCCATGGGATGCCTGGGCGARTGCGTGGGTGCCCACCGCGGGGGCACGGGACCCGAACGAGCTTTGCACCCCAGGAATGGCCGSAGGGTGCCCRGATCCCACCCCAAGGCACTGAACCSRGAYGGGATTTTCACTCCAGGGATCGCAGGTGGTGCCCGGGTGCCCACCCCGGAGCGCAGGATCCGAGCTGGGTTTTTGCATCCCGTGCGATGCCCGGGTGAGTGCGTGGGTTCCTCCCCCGGGGCGCTGGATCCGAGCAGGATTTACACTCCGGGAATGCCCCGATGGACCCACGGGCACCGAATCCCGATAAGGTTTGCACCCGCGGGGATCTCCGGTGGGTGCTCCGGGGCGCTGGATCCCCGCAGCATTTACACCTGGCAGGGTGGGTGGGTGCCGGAGTGCTCGCCCCGGGGCACCGGATCGGGGCAGGGTTTGCCCCGAGGGGATCGCGGGTGGTTCCCCGTCCCCCTCCTCCCCTCGCCCCCCGGCCCCGCGCTCCTCACCGAGCATCTTGCTGAGCTCCGCGTTGTGCAGGTCGGGGTTCTGCACCGCCAGCCGCTTCCTCTCGTCCTTCGCCCACACCATGAAGGCGTTCATGGGCCGGCGGATGCGGCTCTCGGAGCCTTTCTCTCCCTGCGAGGCTCGGGGGGGCGGCCCTGGGGACAGCCCCTCGCCCGYGTCCCCCTCCAGCCGCTCCGGCCAGGGGAATGTGCCGAGCAGCGCAGCCATGGCCCCCCCGGCCCCCCCCGACCCGCCGCGCTGCCCTCGGGGTCCCCGCGCAGTCCCAGCCTCCTGCCCGGCCTCTCCCGTATTTATGAGCTCCTTGGAAAAAGCCTCCTCCAATGACACCGAAGGGACTCGCTGCTCCTCCTTGTTTGCAAACTCCTCGGCCCCGGCCGGGATGGTGCTGCGAGAAAACTTCTCCCCACCCTCAGCCCGGCACCCCCCGGGGTAGCGGCACCCCCAGCACCCCCTTTTCCCCTTCCCGCTTCCCCCCTCCCCCTCTTTTATTATTATTTTTCCTTATTTTGCTCGCTGAAAGGGAGTGAGGAGAGAGCTGGAAATGTCCCTCCCCACAAACAGCTCCGCTGCCCCCCCAAACTTAAAGGCTGGGGGGTAACGGAGAGACAGGAGATGAAGGCACTGAAAATTTGGAAAGAAAAGGAAAATGGCACCGAAAGGAAGATCCCACTGGGGTGCAAAAGACCCCTCCTTGGGTTTTGGCAAACTGCAGGAACCCTCTTTGCCAGGGGAAATCAAGGCATGGATCAGGACAGGGACCCCTTTTCCCCACTCCTCCTGCTTTAACCACCAGTCCAAACTGTGCTCTGCCCACCCTATGTGGGTTTTCACCCCAATTTTCCAGGTCCTCCTGTATGGGATGGAAGCTGTGTCACAATGAACTTTCTGGTGGGTGTTTGTCCAGCCTGGCTGGACTCCTGAGGCAGCTTTTCGGGGAAAACGAGGCAGGGATGTGGCTGGGCACAGCCTAAAGAGGTCAAAACATCCCCAGCTGGTCCCCTCTGCCCATTGTGGGACACTGGTAGACAAAGGATCTTTTCTTTGCTGCTGCTTTTTGCGGGGTGCTGCCCCATCCTACAGAGCCTGGATGGGATGGAAATCCCAAAACCACACAGTGGCGTTCCCACTCATGAGGGAGGGAAACTCATCCGAGCAGCTTTCCCCTCACTAGGACAAAGGATCTCCAGGAAGGTGATGGCACCGAAAATCCCCAGCCGGCCGCCCTTTCCCGGCTCATCCCTGCAACCCTGCCCTGAGGAATATATTTAGTGTCTGGATTCCTTTATGATTCTGACCCGCTGACATGGGGCTGCAGGGCTGCAGCGGCTCCGCTTTGACGGATCGTGGATTTCCTCTCGGAAAAGAGGAAAAGCGGCCAGAAAAGCAGCGGGACGGGGTGCGGGATGGGCGGGAGCTTCCTGGGGCCGGCCGAGGCTGCCCCATCTGACCCCAAGCCAGGGGGAAAAGCCCCGGCTCGGATCCCAGGCCGGGGAGRGAGTTCGGGCAGGTTTCCCACGTGCCTGGGTGTTCCTATTGACTCTTGTCAGATTAGGAGTGATGGAGAGAGCTCATGTAAATGTGAGCCGGGCAGGATCCGCCTGGGCTTCCTGGTCTCTCCCTTCCCTCTGCACAGGAGCGGGGTGGYTCTGCTTTTTCGTGGATTGCAGCGATTTTGGGGTCAGGAGAGCTGGAATCTGCCAACTTCTGCAGAGCAACTGCCCTCCCCGAGCTTTTCCCGAATTAAAACCCTGCGGAAGCAACAACATTTTCCGAAGGAACTGATTAAATCTATTAAGYTATTTACAAGTGGGCTCCATCAGAGCTGCGTTATCTGGGAATACAACAGGAAGGCAACTTCTCTTAAATCTAAAAGGCGCAGGAGATTTCCTGGTCTMGGGACAGATTTATAAACCCCTTCCACACACACACACACACACCCGGGAGCTGCCTTTTATCTGGGGTTTGGARCCGGGCACGCTCCTGGGGACAGCTTGTTCTGTCCCAGCAGCTCCAGTTCTCTCCCAAAGTCCCGTCTGACGCCTCGAAGTGCCAAAGGGATGGGGCAGRGAGGGAGGGAGGATGCCAAACCCTCCACCCTGCCCCGCACACGTCTCCCGGGGGCATTTGGCAGGCTGGAGCTGCCGCAGAAGTTGGGAAGAAAACCTGRAACATCCTTAATTTAAATTCCCTTTAGCAGGGGTAGAAGCACCCTGAAAAAGAAGCTGCCCAGGGTCGCAAGATTTTGTTTTGAATGGGGTGATACCTTTGGTATGGTGGACATGGTGCATGGCTCTAAATTATTTTTTAACCCTCAGGATGCTCAGGACTGGATGTCATTAATATAAAACCACCTCTGCCGAGGCCCCAGAGGTCAGGAAATTTTAGTAGCAGCAGTAGAATACAACCCCTCCTGGGAAAAGGGATGGATGAATTCCACTTGATCCCTTTCACAGCACTGCCTCCACCTTGGTTTGTGTTTCCATATTTTGTAGGATGGGTGGAAAGGTTTGGGAGAGGATAAAACCCTGAGCAAGAGCAGGACCTKCACCCACCTCCTGCCTCTGCTGCCGAAGCTCTCCGAGCACTTCTCCTGGTGTTCCTGATCCTCATTATTCCCTCCACATCCTGGGAGCAACATTTGACCTCCCAAAGGTGCCACAGGGGTCAACTCGTGGCTTTTCAGAACCCCCTGAGAMACAATCTGTGGCTCCCGTGTGGTTACAGCACAAAGAAATCAGGCAGAATATTCCTCGTTTGGATTTCCTCCCTTCCCAGGGCCCCCACACAGAATTTTAAGTGCAAACACTGCTACTATTATTAATAACCACTTTTTTTTTTGTTTTTTCCTCCCCTTCTCCCCCTCTCCCGTAGCACCTGGCATTCTGATGGCATTAGTAAGGAGGGTTGCATTCTGCACCCTGCCTAAAATGCTGGTCAAACCTGTCCTGTGGGGAGCTCCTGCGTTACATAAAGGAGGCTGGGGCCATGTGAAAATGCCACCTCTTAATTGCCACCGGATCGGGGTGATTAGTCTGGAAAAACTCTGGGGATTACCTTTTTTTTTTTTTTTTCGTGTGTGTGCTCACCTTCCCCGCTCTGCTGCGAGGCTTCACCTGTATCTGGGGCACAGGAAGCAGCAGAGCTCTCCCAGGGCTTTGGGAACAGGGAAATTACGGCGAAAAGCCGCGAGCGAAAATAGACGGAGCAGACAAAGGGGGGAAGAAAGCTTTGTTCTCCCCCATTTTCACGGATGGGGAACGGTGGCAGCAAGTCCCATGGGTCAGGCAGAAAATGAGCGGCTGAACCCTGTAAGGAACGACCATCTCTTTAAAAATATCCCTATTTTTTTCTTTCTTTTTTTGGGGGGTGGATCCGACATCTGGAATTTTACTCCTGCAAAGGGAGGGTTTATTTTCACCCCCACCCCCTCACCCCACCACCTTCAGGGACATTAAAATGTGTGAGAAAGTGCAAATCCTAAATTAGCTCAATATTCACATGTTCCTTAATTATTGATGAAACTCCCGGCTCCCAAGGGAAGTTTTTGCAGAGACGGCTGGGGGTTCCCAGCAGAAGMTTCCCTCAGTGCTGCAGTTCCCAACTCTGCCCACCGCCCATCCTCCCTGATTCCACCAGGTTTTCCCCAGGGATTCTTACCTGGAGCATTTATTTTCTAGGATAAAAAACCCCAGAGCTTTCCCATTATACCAAAAAGTGCAGACAATCCCCCCAAAATGCTGATTTTTCAGCGTGGTGCTGAATATTTTTCCCCTTACCATTTTAAAAATGCAGTTTTACGGTTTAAAAAAATATATATATTTTAGTGCCTTTAGGTTAAAAAGAACAAGGAAGAGTTTCCCTCTTACAGTTTAAAATTTATGAAGATGGATTAAGTCAAGGAAAAAAAAATCTTTGAGCGATTCAGAAGCARATTTTGACTTGCTGAGAAACTGAGCTTCAATTTGTTTTTGCAACAACATTCCCACTTCTGCCACCACACAAATGTGTATTTCTGAGTCCCACATCACTAAAAGTTTGCTGATCYTATTAAAAAAGATGGTTTATCCCCGGATGGAACAGGTAGAGACAAAAGCTTTGGTTATTTTCCAGAGTTCTGAGCTCTGATCCTTCCTGGGGGTTTCTGCCCAGGAATGAGGAGGAATTAGGCAAAGGATGGTTTTGGATGCTCACACTCCTCACGCTGTATCCAATAGGATACGCTGCTCCCAGATCTTTTTTCCAGCCTGGCGTGATGCTGGGCAGCGTTTCCAATCGACTTTGTGTGGTTTCCCTCTCTTCTTGGAGCTTCCTTCCTCCCCTCAGTGTTGGCAGGTTCGGAGGTTTCGTGACGTAAATTGTGCCTTTTGAAGGTGGATGCTGCAACAGCTCCGGTCCCGTGTGTTTAAACAGGAGAAAATTGGTTAATTACGCTGATGAATGTGACTAATTGTCCTTGCTGAGGGATCAGGAGCTGAAAGCAGCACCAGGGCAGCTTAAAGGAGCACTGCAGCCATGGACACGGTGTTTGGGCTGTCCCCAAACATTCCACAGAATGGTTTAGGGTGGAAAAACCTTCAAAGATCATCGAGTCCAACCATCCCCCAGCACTGCCAAGGCCAACTCTCACCTGTGTCCCCAAGTGCCACATCCACGTGGCTTTTAAATCCCTGCAGGGATGGGGATTCCACCACCCGTCCATGAAGAAATCCCTCCTGATGTCCAACCCGAACCTCCCATGGTTCAAGGGAGCAGCTTGAGGCCGTTCCCTCTCCTCCTGTCCCTGTTCCCTGGGAGCAGAGCCCGACCCTCCCGGCTGCCCCCTCCTGTCAGGGAGTTGTGCAGAGCCACAAGGTCCCCCCTGAGCCTCCTTTTCTCCAGGCTGAGCCCCTTTCCCAGCTCCCTCAGCCTCTCCTGGTGCTCCAGCCCCTTCCCCAGCTCTGTTCCCTTCCCTGGATTCACTCCAGCCCCTCGATTCACAARTATCACAAAGCAGCTGCATCTCAGGTACCACCAAAAGGACTCAAAGTCACTTAAACACAAGAACAGATGGTTCTGAAATATATTAATGGTGTCTTGCCTTTGTATTTTAAACAAACCGTGGCTGTTACTAAAGGGCATTTGGGGACATCGGGCACTGGTGGCCTTGGTCATGCTGAGGGCATGGCTGGACTGGATGATCTCAGAGAGCCTTTCCAGCCCCAGTTATTCCATAATTCTACAATTTTACCTCTGCTTATGAGGGTGTGTAAAGCACCAGAGTGAAAATATCTTGGGGAGAAATTCAAGAAATGCTGCCCATTCCACATTTCTGGGCTGTCCCTTTGGGATGCTCCAATGCCACCTCTCATCCCTGGTCCCAAAGAAAGCTCCACAGTAAGACTAAACTCCAAAAACCTATAAAGTTCACAGAGATTTAGGTCCAACAGTGGTACCAGGACTGTTTTCCCATGATCTCAACTTCCCAGGACAGTTTGGTGCCTGCAGGTATTTACAAGCACAAGTAAACCTCCATTCTTGCTGCTCCAATGCTGCACTTACAAATCATGTCCTTGGCTGTGGATTCCACAGCGAACTCTTGAGCCTCAAAGCAAAGAACAGCCCCATCCTTGCAAAGAATGGAGCAGCTCAGGAGAAACCATCCCACTGGAATGTTCCCAATGCAAAAAGGAAAATTTCCTTCTGTCCCTGCTGACCTGGGGGTTACCGAAACCGAAAACATTTTAATATCWGTGCTGCGCGTGCCTCGTTCCCTGTTTGGGAATGAAAGCAGAGTGGGGAATCTCATTTTCCTTGGTGTCCAGGTAATTTCACTCCGAGCCACCTCATTCTSTGAGCACAATGGATGAATTTCTAACAAAAGGCCTCGGAGTTTGAAAGTCTGATTTTCGCGGAAATGAAACCAAGTCGCTCCTTTGTGCTCACATTCTGCTAATTCCACCATCTGGGCACTGACGTAATTCTTTTTCTTATGCTGCCTAAAAAAAGGGCCTTGCTTGCCAAACCAGAGCTGGGTTAAAACCGAACTCAAAACCCACTAGAAACAAACAAACAAAAAAAAAAGGAGATATATGTAATTTATTACTCTGAAACATGTTCCTCTTGCTCCAATCATCCATTTCACTGGGCAGTATCTGGTAAAAAGAGCTTTTCATTGAGTAATGCTGACCACAAACACAGAGCAGAGCACTTAAATCAATTGCTTCTGTCAAATACAAGCAATTTRTGATTGATGATTATTTATTTATTATGATTTTTCTCCTCCCACAACCACATGCAGAGCTTGGGGCACATAAAAATCCYACATTTCCCAGGATAAAGTGCCATGTACTTCTTGCAGAAACAGAGAATCTTCCATTTGCACTTCCATCAGGGCCAAAGTTAAGTCTTAGGTATCCTGAACTTAACAGAAGTAACAGAACAAATTTAAAGGTTTATKCCTGGTTTTATTCTTCCTCTAACTGACACTGGAATGTGGCCAAGCACCCACAAGAATCAGCACACAGAAGCACATGGAAATTAATCGAGAGAACAAACAAACAAGCCCAGCAGTATTTGRAGAAGGAAACCTTATTCCTTGACTAGCACCTTTGTAAACTTAAATCTCAAAAAGGCTTTAAAGTTCAGTTGCTTAAGAGTTAAAAAGTAATAATTGGAAACAATCAGGCTTTTGGATTCTAATAATAAAAATTCCAACTTGTGGTGAGCAAGAAATCAGGAGGGATACTTCAATTTATCACAAAACATTATTTTGCTGTCCTGGTCCATTGAGAAGATGATTTTTTTCACCTCAAGCACAGAGTTTCCTCCCAACTGGATAGCAACTGATGGTATTTGGTGGCATTTCATTTAAAKAAGCCAGGGACAAGCAGGATTATATTGGATAATAATTACACAACAGTGAAAAGGAGATGGTACAAGGGTTAAAACYCCTGGCATGTGAATCCCAGGGAAAGGCATCTTGTTCTCCCATACAAGARGTGAAATTTCAGGCATTTTCTGCAGTGAATGAGATATTCTGAGGGCAGAGAAAAAAAAAAAAAAAGCTGCTTTGGAAACCAAGAAATCTTAAAAAGGAGGAGTTGAGCTGTGACCAAGCCTTCCATGTGGTCTGGGTRTTGCAGATGGAGCTTCCTCCACTGCACAATAAAGGCAGCTTGAGGAAATCTTTTCTCCTATTAAACATCTGCATCTTGACAATGTTCCTCAAACCGTGTTAAGCAACTCCACCAAGCTGAGACAATATAAAAATGTACCCATTTCATTCTGCAGAGCAGCCAATGGGATGTTTTAGATTTACACTGATGAAACCCAGCCAGGCCTGAATGAGATGAGCAGCTAACGGATTTGAATTCTGGATTCTGCCAGGATAACTGGCTGCTTTTCAGGGCTGTGCTGTCAAGTTTGYTGTGGCCAAAGAAATATCAGCACACCAGGAAGGTGAATCCCTCTTCCCATTCCACCATTTCCAAGCTCACACRTCTCTTCTGAGTGATATTAAAATGCCAAAAATTCATGCCGGATGTTGAAGATCTCCCACAAAACTGCTTGTGGCAGTGTACAGTTCCAGCATTCCTGATTTCCAGGTTCACAATGAGAAACAAGCTCYAGTTTGGTTATAAATCTAAACTGTGAGTTTGCAATGTGTGAATGGCAATACCAAACACATCTTACTGGGCTTTTAAAATCTACTGGTCTCCCAATTTCAGGAAAAAAACCTTGCTYTATCCAAGGCAACTTTCTGAATGTCAGAGGCACCACTGCAGAGACCCTGAGTATTGTCTGGGAATCCAAGATTTGGGTATGGTTAGTARAGGATATGGTTAATACACATTTCCTTTAGCTTTGGTGCAAAGTTACAACTGTTTGACAATGGTTTGGAGGCACAGGGAGGGCTTTTTATTTCATCCTTTAGAACTGACACTCAGCAGCAAACCTTTAACCAGAGTAAGCATTTTGGGAAGAAACAACATTCATTTTATATGTAAAATGAGATCAGTGTAAAAATTAGACACCACTTTGCAAAAACCAGTGAAAAAACACAGACAGCTTTGCAAACCACCTCCTGCTTCCAGAAGCAGAGCTGGGCTCTCACAGGTGAAAACAACTTTAATAAAAAGGCAGTACTAGGGTGAYACTGKTTTTGGGTTTTWTGGGTTTTTTTCCTGGATTGAGGAAAACTGTCAGTGTGAAGCAGCAGGAAGTCATTCCTTCCCTGTTACAGTCTTGATGTGTTAGTCCTCCATGTGGATCTCTTTTGAACGTGGCACTGGAGCTGCTGTTGGCCCATCACCATATTTTCCAYTGGGAGGGCTGGGTTTAGATGCAGTCTGAGTTTAGATCCAGTCTGTTTTCAGACCCAGTCCACGGTCCCAGCTGGAGCAGTGTCCAAGCCTGGAGTGCAATGTGCTGCCTGGTGCTGTGTTCACACAGTGCCCTCCRACACAGACTCACCCCAGAGTCCCAGTCTGAGCCTGAAGGGGTTAAATGTTCTTGCAGTGCTTCTTTTTCTTTCTGGGTGCTCCTTCCACACACCCACCTGTCTCCTCTTTTTGCTTTTTGTGCTTCTTCTTGTGGCGTTTCTTGTGCTTTTCCTCCTGCTCCTCTGCGCTGAGATTCTCCCCCTCAGACATTCCCACAGCAATTTCTCCATTGCCTGTATTTTCATCACARCTGATGCTTTCCTCTTCGTGCTCCTCTTTATGTTTCCTCTTTTTTTTCCCTYTGTGACATTCATTTAGGGGAGCATCCAGTTCCTCCCCATTCAAGCTCCCTGTTTTTGGCTGTTTCCCTGGTTTCTCCCAGTGCTCTGTCCTCTCTGCCTCATCATCCCTCTTCTGCTTCTTCTTTTTCTTCTTGACTTTGGTTTCCAGMTCTTCTGAGGGCTCCACAGTTTCATCAGCTGTTGGGCTGGAATGATCCACCCTTGTTTCTGTTTCCTTCTGGGATCCTTTCAGCTTCGCCATGCGCTTGGCAAAATATTCCTGGACAGTGAGAACGCTCTTCACTGTATTGGAACCATCTCCAGGGTTGGAGAGACAGTTGTTCCCCTCCTTYTCTTCTTCTTGGGAGTCAGGATCAGCAAAATCTTCCTGCAAGGGAACAAAGAGGAGCAGGAGTGAGTCAGGAATCTTTAGCATAATGCTGGGTTTTTGCACACTAATAAGGAAAATATTGAAAAGCAACGTGTTGTTTTGAAAATTAACAGTGAAAGTACAGATCTGGGTGGATGTGAGGCAGCCCTTAACATAAAAAAGGTTATAGGTTTAGGGAGAACAGGTGGAAGGCAACAAGAGAACACAAACCAAGAAAATTTTGATTCTTTTGAGTTCCTTAGTTTGCCTGCTCCTGCATAACTCATGCCTACCACTATCATACTCAGTGTATTACCCTGACTTTACACAGCACAAGAGATAAACCAGYGTGAAAAATCACCCCCTACAATCTATTAGCCCATGGCACAAAGGAAATCCCATGCCTGGAATAACTCTCTAGCAAAGAAGTTGTGATCCAGGGAGCAATCCAGCATTGAGGCATCTCTTCCATCTTATCTGATCTTTGGAAATGTTTGTTTCRGAGCTGCTCTGCTGTCAGGGCGTCCCAGATGTTGTTATTTAAACAGGCTCCATTTGATCACACGTTATCAGATGGCACCAACAACATCACAGGTTACATCTTACAAGGTTTCTGCAGACATGAAATAAAGAGATGTTGATCTGCAGCTGCAGGTGAGGAGTTTCCTATTTAGAAAGGAAATATCARACTGAAAGCACAAGTGTAGCTCCAGAGCTGGATGTTATGGATGGCATGAAGAGAACTGATTGAGAAAGCAACAAATGCCACAAGATGGGAATGTATAATTTGTTAAATTATCTGAGATTTACAAAACAAACAAACCAGAGAGGCAGCTGAAATTAAGGCTTGTTCACATACATACCAAAGCACTCGAAACAAAGCCTTTGTGGCATAGCCTTTTGCTTGGCAAAAGTCACAAATGACTCTTGGAAAATGTCCCAAAATTTCAAAATCATTTAGGTTGGAAAAGGCCTCCAAGATCGAGTCCAACCTGTGACTGATCCCCACCTTGTCCCCAGCCCAGAGCACTCAGTGCCACCTCCAGTCACTCCTTGGACATCTCCAGGGATGGGGATTCCAAACCAATGCCTAAGCACCATTTCCTTGAAGAAATTCCTCCTATGTCCAACCTGAACCTCCCCTGGTGCAGCTTGAGGCCAATTCCTCTCCTCCTATCCCTGTTCTCTGGGAGCAGAGCCCGACAACCCCCGGCTGCCCCCTCCTGTCAGGGAGTTGTGCAGAGCCACAAGGTCCCCCCTGAGCCTCCTTTTCTTCAGGCTGAGCCCCTTTCCCAGCTCCCTCAGCTCATTTACTTTTTTTTTTTAACTCTTTTACTCTTTACTAGATTTTTAAAAGTCCTGTCCACACTGCAGGGAGCCAGGCAAACCCTCTGGATGGGAAAAAGCTGAAAAGGATGGTGTAAAATCCTCATCAACATTTGGCCTACCACCCCTTCTTGAAGGGAAGAGGAATCCACAAAGATTACAGTCAAACAGAGGCAATTCCCTRTTTTTCCATTCATAAATGCACGGATGGATAAGAGCAACCACTCTGCCCACACATCCTGAAGGAAGGGACTGTAAAACCTGCCCAAATCAGAGCAGACAGATTTCACAGCCACTTTCACTGCCATGACCTGATACTAGGGGAAGGCCAGCAGAGAGCTGGGAGATAAAATCCCACTTATCTCAACATTTTATAGTTATTGCACGATGCTGCAGATAAGGGATCTGGCTCTCTTGAGGGCATCGTTAAACTTGTGGCTGAAGTGGGGTTTATTAGGGTTTGTGAGTAAGGTTTTCCAGGTCTGGCTCCTTATGCATCCATAATCTTTACTCCCATGAGCAAGAATGCAAAAATTGGTGTCATTAGTGATGCATTACGAGTGGTGATTTCCTCATCCATCTGCTTTCAAGAGAGCTATTCTAGTGGAACAAAGTAAGGCTGCACTTCAGATTCCAGTGATATTTGTGTGGGCACTTATCAAAATCAGGGACTTTTCTTGTAGGGATATGTTCTAGTRCTCCTGCAGGGTTATGAAGTAACTCAAAGTATTTGACTTCTGGCAAAGAAGCTTGAGAAGGGATGTGAACAAGGGGAAAAACAGGATGTATCCACACACATCCCCACACAGGTTCATTTGAAAGGGGAGAGGCAGCTGAAGTTCAACAGGACAGAATTCCCAGGACTGATGGGTTGAGCTACTTTTAAATTAATGCTGTTTTTAATAAGACTTAAGGCAACAAGCACAGAACCCCATGGCATCACAGGATCATTCAGGATGGGAAAGTTCATCAGGACCATCAAGTCCAGCCTGTGACCGATCCCCACCTTGTCACCAGCCCAGAGCACTGAGTGCCACATCTGGGTGTTCCTTGGGCAACACCAGGGATGGGGACTCCAAAACTCCCTGAGCAGCTCCTTCCAATGTTTTAACAGCCCTTTCCATGAGGAAATTCCTCCTGATTCCAACCTAAACCTCCCCTGGTGTAGCTTGAGGTCATTTTCCCTCTCCTCCTGTCCCTGTTCCCTGGGAGAAATCCCGACCCCTCTGGCTGCCCCCTCCTGTCAGGGAGTTGTGCAGAGCCACAAGGTCCCCCCTGATCCCCCTTTTSTCCAGGCTGAGCCCCTTTCCCAGCTCCCTCAGCCTCTCCTGGTGCTCCAGCCCCTTCCCCAGCTCCGTTCCCTTCCCTGGACTCGCTCCAGCCCCTCAATGTCCCTCTTGTCAGGAGGGTCCCAGAGCTGTCCCCAGCACTGGAGGTGCCCCAGCAGTGCCAGCACAGGGGATGGGCACTGCCCTGGCCCTGCTGGCCACACTATCCCTGGCACAGCCCAGGGGTCAGTGACCTCCAGCCCACCTGAGCACACCTGGCTCGTGTCCATCTGCACCCCCAGGACCTTTTCCAGCTGCCCTTCCCAGCCTGGAGCTGCAGGGAGTTGCTGTGACCAAGGACAGGACCTGKCACTTGGCCTCGATGACCCTCACACCGTGGTCTCAGCCCATCTTTGCAGCCTTTGTGCAGATCACATTCAGCTCCCCCACTGAAGCCCAGACAAACAGGGGCTTTTTCCCTTCCTTTTCCTTCCCCCCAGAGCAGGATTTTGACACCCTGAATTGCAAAAGGACAAACAGACTCACAGGTTTTCAGCCAGAATCATTTCCCTCCCCACCCTAATGTGTAAAACACACTTGGGCCCAGAACACCCATTACCCCCTGGCCAACCAGGAAAGGATTTTCTCATTGCCTTGGTGACTTCAAGTCCTGACAACTTAATTACTGTAATTGAAGGCAAATATTACTTGAACTCTACACGTTTCTTTTCATGAAGTACGTTAGGCATAAAAACAAATGCTCCTTTGGTTAAGCAGAGGAGTTCCAAAGTATGTACGAGTTTAGAAAATAAGAACCTTGCTCAGAAACTCCTTTATTGATAAGAATTTTAATAACCAYGGGCCACTGAGCACAGAACTAACAGGGCATGGAGACAAGCAAAGAGGTGCCAACCCTAGAAAACCTCTGGGTTTAGGAAAAGCTTATAAAAAACCATAAATCACCTGGAAACGCTGTTAAATGCCAAAGTATTGCTGCTTCTGTRGTGTACCTGTCCCAGTAGCCATGGGAACATTGCTGAACTCTAACCAGGGGTTTWCTTGARCCCCTCACAGTTTTTGCAATTCCCYCCCTGCTTGGCTCAACACAGAGAAAACTTTAGAAGAAAAATAAGGCAGATRTCCCTAAATGTGAATTGTGCTGCTGCAACTTCTGGAAAAACAACTTTTCACCAGGTAAAAGACAGAAAGAAATATTCCTGCTCCACAGAACTGATGATYAGGTAAAACAGAAAGAGTAATTGTGCTGTAACTGGAGAGAGACCTGAAGATTGGGCTTTGGAGGTGTTTGTCCATGCCATGAGTTCCAAAATTGCCCACAAAATGGAGCTGAGGAGATGGAGTTAAAAGGAATTGTGAATAGGGAACTGGTAGGATGGTCCCAAGCAAAAGGAAAGAACTGCTTGAAACATGATGTTATGTGGGGAATGAGTAAGAGGAAACAATAGGAAAATTCAAGGAGAGGTTGGGAAGTGCACAGGAAAAGATGAAGGTCAATTACAGGCAGAAATCCCCTGTAAATATCATCTGTTTATGTAATTAGTGAAATGTATGGAAAATRATCTGAAGGACGTAAAGCACTCCATGTTCCACCGTGTTTTTCTCTTGACTTTTTTCATTAACTGATTAAATCATTAAGAGAGTACACTAAATTTAGAGGGAAATCCTGGTTCCCTTGAATCCTCCAGGATCAGGACTGCATCTCTAGGGCATCCCACCCTCAGAGCATCTTTCAGTTATTCAGTGAAAGAAAAAAAAATCAGGGGATTATGGTCAATCATCAAAGGAATTCACAGCAGTGAAAACAGTTTGGCAAGAGCAGAAGCCCAAAGTGGGAAGATTTTGACATCTCATGAAATCAAATAAGTTTGAAACCCCACCTGGCCTAGTAGAAGGTGTCYTTGMCCATAGCAGGAGGCTGGAATGAGATGAGCTTYAARRTCCCTTCCAACCCAAACYATTCTGGGATTATTATAATTAATATTCAAAAAGAAGAATTGTACCTGCACATTACCCTGGGAGGAAAAGTGAGATAGAACCAATACAGATGGAGCAAAGCAAAGGGTTCTGGCACAGGAACAACAGAAGCAGCATGGATTTATTTAGGGAAGCTCCCCCCCCTCTTCAGAATGCAAGTATTTATTTTTTAGCACTTAAAATCTTGTAATAGGGGAACAAAATATCTCTTACACCATCTCAGCTTGCTACATATGAACTACTGTTACTGAATCCCAGGAATTTCCCTTGCCTTTGCTTTGTTGGTACTAATTCACAACAATTTTTGTGAGCTCTGATTCACAAAAAAGACACAAAAGGCAAAGTCCAGCAAGGATGAACATAAAGGCTGAATAAAGCCCAACTTTGTTTTCAGTAGATTCTCACTAAATGACACAAAGTGGGCTGGAT